CAAGCAATTCGACGGCATTGTTCATAATAAGAATAATCACCACTCCAATAAAATACTGCATGATCATAAAAGACCCAAATTAACAATTCTCCATCAAAATATACGAGGAATTATTAACAGCTGATGAATTTTTAACTTCTTTATCTGCTAATGAGCCACAAATCATCTGCTTATCTGAACATCACCTGAGAATTGATGAAATAGGTAAATTAAACTTCAGCCAGTATATTGTAGGTACTTCCTTTTGCAGACAAACATACTGTAACATCAATAGCAAATAATAATAATAATAATTAAACTAGTTAAAAAGAACTAGATACAGTAGTGAGCATAAGTAAAAATGAGACTGTAAAACAAGTGAAAGTGTAACCAGTGACATGAATTGAACTTCGATTCACGAACTTTTAACTTTTAACAATTAAATTAGAATAATAATTTTAACCTGTGTTTTATAAAAAGAACTCGATATATTAGTTAGCGTAAGTGTGGATAAGATACAGGGTCGAATGAGTGAAAAGTGAATGTGACCGCATGTAATTATACAGCCTCGTGTTCATACACCTGAAGGTGACCTCTGAAGGTCGAAACATTTAGTGATAATAAAAAAGGTGTTGTGTAGTCGGTAAATTCGCTCTACTCTTGACTTCATATTTATTCTGTTATGATTCACTTTTAAATTTGTAAACAATCAAAAAATATGATTAAGAATAAAGCGGAATAAAGACTTAATGTGAAATAATCACTCTTCAGTTTTATTCTGCAGTATGTTCATGCTATATCAAAGCTAGACTGCCACTGATGCACAAGGGATAGTACATGGACAAGACTTCCAAGAAAGATCCACTCTGGCGATGCATGCAGTTTTCTCATGTGTCATAGCATAAGGTAGAGGACAAAAAATCCCTTTTTCTTCTTTGGAATTAGGGAGGGCTCCTGTATCCTAAGAAATGGCCCTGTTCAGATTTGATAGATTTCAGGAACATTTAAATTGAATCTACATCAGGGCTGCCAAGTCCCAGCACATGGTTGCATGCAGCCTGCCAGTTGGTTTTGTCATATTCCTTAAAGGAGGCATGCTTAGTCCGAGCAGATTTAACATGTTTCTTTTTTTGTTTCTCTGTAGGTTAAAAACAGCTGAAATGAATGAATTTTTTTTTAAACCAAGCATAGTAATTTTAGCTACTTTTGGTAGAAGTGTCCAATATTAAATATAAGAATTTTTGGAAAGTCACCGACAAGAAAAACAAATTCAGCTGCAATATATTACTTTAAAATATTTGTGCAGAGATTAATAACCCTGTGTACCTGACACTGGCACAAGGAGGCACAGCACAAAAAAAATGAAACTGGAAATGCCTTAGGACTCACTCTCAACAGTGAACTGTGAGTCATGGGTCCTGCACATTTCAGATCCCTACATATTAAAGAGTAACAAGAAAGAGAAATATTAAAGAGAAACTGGAAATGCCTTACAACTCACTCTCAACAGTGAACTGTGAGTCATGGGTCCTGCACATTTCAGATCCCTACATATTAAAGAGTAACGTGGCATAGTTTTCTAATAGATATTAATATATTTTCCTCTCAATTTAGGCGTTTTTGCAACCATAGAAGCAACACACAAGCAAACTTAATGATTTCACACACTTTGTTCGAAATTCATATCCAGTTCTGACTGGTTCCATAAGAGCATCCATTTCAAAGAGAACATCTTGCACCATCTTCAGAATATTTATTTAACTACCACACATGATTTCTGAAAGATGTATAATATAATGAGGGGTGTCACAGAAACAGGAAATACTTAATTACTGAGCTGGTTAGTGTAATGGTAGCATTTCACTTGGAAAGTACCCAGTTTGAACATCAGCTATGGTGACTGAGGATTTTAGTGTTTTCTTCAGGGAAATTTTAGGATATCACCTTCAAATAAGTTATGACTGGCTCCTTCCAGGCTTATGCTTAAGCACCATGTCAGATCATCTTCCAATCTCTTTTAATGTCATAAAATCTTTGCTGTTGAATCACACGAAATAGTCTGAAAACCACCAGTCCAAAATTAATTTGTGGCTTTGAGCTGTAAATTAATCATAGACGCTGTAATTTTAAACTGTTTCTTAATTTTGGTAAACTAAGTTTTGTTTCATTGCTGTTTGTCTCTCTGTGTTGGTATGTTCCAGACATTGTCCATAGGCAAGTTCTCAATGCTGGGTTGGAGTGATGGTGGAATTACAGCCATGATTGCTGCGGCAAATAATCCAGAACAGGTTGACAAACTGGTGATATGGGGAGCAAATTCTTATGTCACTGAAGAAGAAGCAAAAATATATGAAAGTGAGTCTCATCTTTCTAAGAGGTACTTACATTTTGCTCAAAACATAAGAATTAACTTTGATAATCTTAAATACAAGTGTCTAAGCACCATTCCATCTAGGTATGTAGGAAATGTATGTGCACTCACTCAGATCTGACCACAGTGTGGTGTGACAGTAAGGCTTTTATCATACAGATGGGACCAAACTTGTCAGACACTTTGAAGCACTAAACATTTTTTTACAATAATATGTTGATGCAATATTTGATTTCCTGGACAGTTTCCACTGTCTTAATTGCTATTTAAAATGGCCTTTCAGAGGCTGGACTCTGTGTCTGCCCTTGGGTATAAAGCCTACCCTGTTTGGCTCATTGGGTAGAGCTTGTCCCTGTCTCCGGTCCAGAGAACTCTGTTGAGTGCAATTGATAGAGCTAGTCCCTACCTCCAGGCAGCGTACATAAACCAAGCAGGTCAGAAACCATATGCAGGATTTAAATTAAAAAGACTCAGTCAACCATATGCAAGAGGCATTTTACCTATGACTGTGCATAATGTTCTGATCAGAATCCAACTTAAAATTGAAACTGAAACCATTGATTCAAGTTCTAAAAAGTATAACAATGGATACTGAAATGCCTGTATGGAGATGGGTTAGAATACTTCCACCTTAGCCATGCAAGTTACAGAAGGTGACAAAAAGCGAAACTCTTGCCTCCGCGGGTATAACTGCGCCATCCTGTCACTGGGGAACATTAACACAGAAACCTGGTTCTCCAAGTTGGGTGCTGCATATGAGTTTAATGAGTCTGCTCTTTAAAAAAAAAATATTTCAAATTCCAAAGAAGTGAAAACGTGCATGGTCTGATTCACTGGAAAAATGTAGCCAGGAAGAGGCAAATCTAGCAGAATCCTCTGAGGAAGGTTATGACAAAAAAAAAGGGCTGCTGCTGTGGTAGGTATTGCAACATACATAAATCAATTATTTTGGACATAGTCAGTAGATGTTTATGTTACAGTACCTATAGTTGTCCTTTCCTGAATTTGATTCTGTGGTTTTAGCTTCAGTTTTAAGTTGGACTCTAGCCAGGACATTATGCACAGCCATAGTAGCAACTTCTCGTGCATAATGTTCAATATGTGTTTTTAACTTAACTCCTGCAGTTGGTTTATGCAGTCCTGGTGTACCATGTTTTGTGTTATTTCAGGTGTCTGGAAATATGGTCCAGCTCTGTTTGTTGGGCCCGATAGATTATGCTTTTTACCTGAAACCAGAAACAGGACCCAATCTCCAAAATTCCTAAAAATAAAAATTAGGGCTATGGATAATGTCCAGAAATGGACATTGCTGGTGGGCTCTGGAATAATTTCATACAATTATTATGGTCTCAGAATCATGAAACTGACCAGACAAGTAGGTGGGTACCAGTGCTGTAGAGAAGAATACTACCTCCATCTTCAAGATGTAAGTGAGCCCTATTGGACAAGTGGCACAGTATGTAGAAGTAAGGGAAAAGGAAATATGTCATATATAGTCATGCTTGGCTTAACTCTGCCATGAAGATGGAGGCATTGGATTCCTCTGAAACATTGGTGCCCTCCTCCCACAGTGTTATAATCCAAAAAACCAAAATGTAAATCATCACCACAGTGAAAACCTGAAATCTGGCAATTTCACACACCTTTTTTAACAAAATGGTGAGACAAGATGAATGGAAGGTTATCTCAGGAAGTATATGCAGAATGTTCATTTCATTTTTTGCAATTGGCCCCACTATTGAATGTGTATGCAGTGTACATGGTTTGACAATAAAGTTTGCGAACTCATCGCAGTAAAAATGCTACAATCCTCATTGTTGAATATCACTGTGGTTGCCTTTAAAGTACTCCCCTTGGGAAGCTATGCACCTATGCCAGCGCCTAATGCACCCTTCAAAATAATTTTGGAACTGGCTCTATGGAAAGGCCTTCAGAGCTGCCGTTGTATTACTCCTGATGTCATCAATGTCATCAAAATGCCTTCCTTTCAATATTTCCTGTATCTTGAAGCAGCTATGCTTTGAGGTCTCACAACATCCTGCATACAGACCTGGTCTTGTTCCTTTGAATTTTCATGTTTGGAATCCACAAAGATACCTTAAATGACCATCATTTTACCAGCAACCATGCATTGAAAGAGGAGGTGCATGTGCAGGTTTCTGTCCAGTCGAAAGCACTTTTTTTGTTGTGCAATGCTGGACCAAGTGTGTTGAAAAGAAGGGAGACTGTGTTGAGTTACGGATTGCTGTTATGTTAGTTTAATTAATGCTTTCTCACTAAACCTCCTAGAACTTATATATTGAAAGCTCTCTCTTGTTCCCTTACTTGTATGACAATGTACAAAGAAAGAAAGAAACTAAACTGTTGTAGCACTGAGATTAAGCTTTTGTTTAAAGGTAGTCATAAAAATGATCTTTCTAATTATAGACCGATTTCCCTTTTAACTTCCTTTTCAAAATCTTCAACAGGATTATACAGGTGGTCATAAAAATGATCTTTCTAATTATAGACCGATTTCCCTTTTAACTTCCTTTTCAAAATCTTCAACAGGATTATACAGGTGGTCGTAAAAATGATCTTTCTAATTATAGACCGATTTCCCTTTTAACTTCCTTTTCAAAATCTTCAACAGGATTATACAGGTGGTCGTAAAAATGATCTTTCTAATTATAGACCGATTTCCCTTTTAACTTCCTTTTCAAAAATCTTCAAGAGGATTATACAGGCTTTCTACAAAAGGTCCTGATACATTTTGATCTTTAATAATTTGGAAAATAACGAAGATAGAAATAAACTGGTTACATTGTTGTATTGAGAGACCCAAAAGTTTTGTGTCTATTGTAACGTGTCTGGAATCCAGAAGAGACTTCTAGGGAAACGCTAGAACAGACCGTTGCATAAGAAGTAACAATAGCGATACTGTAATTCCAACAGTGAGCCGTTGTATCGAGAATATCGAATCTCCACGGTTACGACAAACACGCGTAGCATCCCAACAGAGACAACGCAATAACAATGGGTTATTGCGTAGGGAACGCGGAGCCAACAAAGCGACGTTTCCACTGTTATAACAGAGGGTTCGTTGCCTAACAGCGGGCAAGGTTATAAATAGCCCAGCTTCGACACGAAGCCTTCAGTCTTCATCGGGCCAGCTAAGAGGCCAGTTGTGATCGAGCCTCCAAAGAAGAAAGCCCTGGAATATCCGCTGCAGAAAGGAGTCTCTATACACCGCCAGCGAAGCCAGTCCAGTGTCACTGAGAAATTGTGTAGGCTAACAATTGTAAGCAGTGATTGTGACACTGCAAGTGAAAATGCCTGTAAAGTGTGTAAGTGAGCGAAGGAAATAAATTCGCTATATTGGGATGACGGAGTGAATTTATTTGTCGCGTTATACACCCAACACGTGACACTATTTTTAATAAAGTTTTACATATGCTCCATTTGTTGCACGTAAAATATCAGGACGATATTCGATTTCTTGCCAGGTTCAGGCAAGCATACCGACATCCACAGTGGTTATTGCATCTCTTAGTCTGGATTTTAATTGATCAATGTCTCTCACCTGCATCTTATAAACAATGTCTTTGACATATCCCCAGAGGAAAGAGTCCAGTGGGGTTATGTCAGGTGATCTTGGGGGCCAAGAAATTGGACCACCTCGTCCAATCCATCTTCCTGGAAAATGTTTGTCCAAAGCATCACGAACTATGGTGCTCCAATGAGGTGGCGCACCATCTTGTTGGAAAATGATTTTAGGCTGAAGCACTCAGTTTGTGGAAATACAAAATTCTGCAATATGTCTAGGTAAATGACTGATGTGACTGTCTTTTCCATGAAAAAGAAAGGCCGAATGACTCGATCATGCATAAAATCACCACACATTCACTTTTGGAGAGTCTCTTGCCATTTCACGGTATTCATGAGGGTTCTCTGATCCCCAAATGTGTATGTTACGGCAATTGACTGTTCCAGAAATGTGGAAGCAAATTTCATCAGAGAACAATATGGTTGTAAGAAATCTTTCATCATCCTCTATTCTTCGTAACATATCTGTTGCAAAATGCATTCTCTTAAGCTTATCATGTCATTCAATAGCTTGCACAAGTTGCATCTTATAAGCATACAGCTGTAATTTCTTCCGTAGAGCCTTGTGTACTGTTGAAACTGGCATATTCAATTCTGTTGCTGCTCTTCTCAAAGGTTTCTGGGACTGCGTGCAAATGCTTCTCGGACATGCTCAACATCATCATTGCTTGTGGCGGGACATCCAGAACACTTCTTACTGATGACACTTTCTGTTTCTAAAAAATTATTTTTCCAGTGTATGATACTGTTTCTAGAAGAATGTGTTCTAAAGTTCCTCTGCGTTTGTGTCACCGATTTCATTTCACAAAACCACACCACTGTTTGTGCTCTCTCTTGCGGAGTTGCCATTTTCTCAACAATGAACACTGCACTGACAGCTATGAACACGTTCCTGACCTGTAAAGAGGATCTTTCCATCATTGCTAAAGGTCTATTTCTGTCTTCGTTATTTCCCGAATTATTAAAGATCAAAATGTGTCAGACCTTTTGTAGACATCCTGTATTATCCAGACGAATCAGCATGTTTATAACCATAATATTGTGACATGTTGCGCAACGGAGGACCCCTACTTCCCCAGCGGCACATGGCGGTAACGTAGCGCTCCCTCCCCCTCCCCTCCGCGGTGACGTAAGATGGCGCGAGGTAACAGCGTTGCTAGGCTATACGCAAACACGGTGACGCGGCACCGCTTCCTACTGTGACGTGGCGGGCAACCCTAACAACAGCAAACGGAATAAAAGCCGGCTGAGCAGCAAGCGAGAGCCAGTGTGTTATCAACGAGTTCTCAGTTCGCAAGTTACAAGCTACAGACGCGTGTGCGAGAATCAGTGATAGTTCGTGATAACCAGTTATATTTGGAGTGTGTAATTCAGGGAGATTTGTATAGCTCCCGCGTTC